GGAAAAGCCTCAAAATTAGTCTTTCAGTTTAATTCCAGTAAAATTTATTTCAAGAAGAACAATTTAAGGAATATCTCTTTTAATATATTTATGACCGGAATTTAGGTAAGCTAGGGTCGTCAACAACAGTTCATAATGGGTACTCACGTGTTTTGGTAATTTCAATTTCTCTTTAAATTTAATTGGTTCAGTTTCGAAACTTTTTACTGCCCTGCTCGTATTCCTCTTGAAAAGCCAGTTTTGATCGATGAAACATTATTGGGGAAGTAGAATTATATAACTAAGAACGCCTAAGCATATCCAAAAAAGATCAAATTTCGCTTCTCCATTGAAAATTTCCTAGAACATTCATGATAGAGCTACGATGGTTTGTTAAAAATCTATTTCAAAAGTTGAGCAGCAAAATATTTAGAGCAGTAACACCTCCCAACAATTAAACATAATCCTTTAGCTTTACAGTATTTGGTAGGTGGCTGAAATAGAACTAAATACCAGAGTAATTTTTTATGCAAACAATAAGGCTGAAGAGTCCTAAACTTACCGAAGCAGCAATACCAAAAGCTGCTAGTTACCAGCTAAAACTTTTTTTTTTGTTGTTGTTGTTTCTGCCTGATTTATTGCTACTAAAGTTTTCAAACAAAAGAATAAACAAGCAACCACTGTTTTACTATGTCAAATAAAATTTCCATTGCATCTGAGACCAGATGATTTAGCAACAAGTGATGATCGTTTTTGATGTAAACTATCTCGAGTATAAAAAATAAATTGATTTCTCGCTTCTAAAAAATTCTTCGGAACCTTGCTCATCTTCCTGACAGTGAAAAAATCTCCCGATTTAAACTCAGGTTCCAAATTCGTGCTGCAAATGCAAATACAAATGAAATCCTCAATTGCTATTTGGCTTGTAGCAACATATTGGAACAGCACATGAGACCTGGTCTGCTTTGAAGCCCTAGGATTGTTTTAATGTAAGACATGTTGACCACGTAGATGTATCGTGCGAAGTTCACCTCACCCATCAAAAATAACATATGGTATAAAAATTACTGACGTAAGTAATGGTGTTTATTGCTGGAAGAATTATTTGTAGAAGCGTCTCTTATTATAAGTATACCAAGCAAAATAGAAGCAGTAAGTTTTACTGCTTTTATACAAATGTCGTTAGGGGAATACGAATCGCACAGACGAATAAACAGCTACATGCTGTAATTACTTTTCATACAAGCTGCAGTTTTCGGCAATACAACCGCAAAAGCATTAATGAAAGCAGTAAGCGAGGCAAAGTAACTGCAAGCTGAATCATTTTTTGTCCAACAATAAGCAAGTACCTTAGACAACTTTCTTAAAAGTTCAATGTGTTCACTGATATGCTGAACGAGCACGCTTTCACTGCCGCCACTTTCTTTAAACAGAATCTTCTGATGAGAAAATGTCACTGCACATTCCTTTTTTATACAGTAAAAAGTAATAACAATTGTTTAAAAGAACACCTTGCCGTAAACTCATTAAATAAAAAATAATTTTAAAAGTTCTATATGGTACAGTTACTATCTGAATTAAGAACATCATCCATACCAATCGAAAAGGAGTGAAGGTTACGATGCTTTTGAATTTTCCAATGCCGCTTTGAAAAATGTTTCCACTCCACCTTTTCCGTCTTTTTTTCCCACTCAAGGTTCTCCTACTCTCGTCTCACTGCTCCATTTATATCAAGCACATTTAGAAAACTTTGTACACAACTTTCCCACTTCTAGACGACCTCATTTTAATGCGCACTTTCATCAAATGATGACTTCCCTAACGGTGACGGAAACGATACACGGGAAATTTGACGAGCAACTATCTGCTTTCAAACTCAGATCTGAGCGGTATTTTTACTGTTTTTTTCCGTCATTCTCTCCACTTCAGTAACACTCAGTTACTTTTATCAAGTACTTAGGAAGGCAAAGTTTTAGTGCCCGAGCAAGACTGCTCCAAATTTATGACTGATAGTTTTTAGGCCACTAATTACTCCGATTCAAAAAGTTATCTGATTTTAACAATTTAAATTCCCAGAAGGAACATCGCAGGAGAGCCAAATGAACAGCCAAATGAAGACGCAAAGATTGTTCAGAAGGAATCAAGACGAGACCATGCTGGCTAGTAGGTGTTCTCAAAAAATTCCCTGACATTCAAATAATCGGAAAAAACGTTAAAAAACTGTGAAGTCAAATGTAATTAAACTATATGAAAATTTTCATTCGTAGACCGTGCATATGTTCCTTGTTCCAGACCGTCATTAAAATAAGCGCCTAGCGAAACTGTATCGGTAAAGAAAACAAACCATAATGTCAAATCCTTAAAAGTTAACAAAGTAAAGAAGAAATATTTCTTAAACAAAAGAAAATAACAGAAGGTCAGGAAAACCTATAAAAAAAGTAAACAATTCAGCTAAAAAAGGTCATTGGTCTGTAAGCAGGAACCAAAGTGACCTCAAGTAGAATCTTACTCCATGACCAGTTACATAAGCATCAGCTACAGATTTTCGTAAGCCAAAGTTTTTATAGATCCAACACTCCAACAATGCAAAATATTGATCATAAAAATTTACATGCTAATTTCTGTTCCCTAGTCCCTAAAATTTTTTCTTCGCCTGACGATGTTCCTTCGTACTGCTCACAGCAATCTACAGCACCTCTATCCAAAATTCAATTTTCGTTTCTTATTTTTTTCCGCACAGAAGTGCCAAATAACGTAACCCTCAAATCACCAACATTAGTTGCACAATTATGCCTAATCTGGTTACCAGAATAAATCTACATAACGATGATTAAATTCAAAACCCAATCTGCTAAACGCAAAAAAGTGCACAACGTTACGTAAACTCCATATCAGTGCTTTGAAATACGGGGCAAAAAACTTGTCTGTAAGAAATTAAAATAAAAATGAAATTCGAAAAAAAAAAAAAATTTGCCAAATGAGAAAAAAAACTATGACAGATAAATGTAGCAGCTTTAAGACGTCAAATTGGAACTGAAGATCTTCTGAGGCATCTGCCAATGAAGTTACATCATCTATAAATGTTTCGTTTACATTCAGCAGCAGTGGTTTCGCTAATGCACATAATTGTTATTAGTTGTCGTTAGTCATCGCCAGTAATAGTGATTTGGCCTAATCGGTAAATGCCAAATTTACAGATACACAGTATAAGCTGATTTGAATAGCAGCAGCAGCAGCACTAAAAGCTATGCTATTTGGCTAAAAGCGTTGGAAATTGTCGACAGCTGCAGGCAAATTTCGCCGCCAGATACAATGCAGTTGGCGTTCTGTCAAGTATCCTGCGGTGAGGGGTCGTCGATGATTCAGCATAACCAAATGATCGGTAGCAGTGCGTTAGTGGTCGTCACTTAGACCGGAGTGATTTCTGGAGTTTTTAGTCACTTTCTGTGTTCTGCCTGTCCACTTTCTTTTCTTCTTCTGTTGCCTTTTTATTCGCGTGTGTTGCCGAGTGAAAAAATCAACCAGCAACAACTTGTTATTCCGTGGTTTTTGACGTTATTTGAATTTGTTACAAATCTAACATATATATTTGCTAAATTTTGCTTGATGCACACATATTGACCGATATTTTTTTTCGCACATCTCTACCACTAAAGAATATCGAAATGGCTGAACTATTGCACATCGTTTTCCTGCTTCTCTTTCATAACGTTGATCTGCGTCAAATATCCACTGCGATCGTTCCATTGACAATGTTTGTGAATATTCGTTTAGCGACACGTAAAGATTTGTTGTTTAGTTGAAAGTTTGAAGTATAACTGTTGGCAACTCTAAGAATACAGGCTGTGGAAACATGTCCTGAATCAGTGAGTAATTTATGCTTTTGACGTTAGAGTTAGGATAAAATGACGTTGATATGATTGATATATATTTTGTTGGCAAAAAATTGCGGTCTCCTTTTCTTTTTTGACTTTATTTTTGAACCTGCACTGAAAATTTCACACGTTTTTGGCCTAGGTTCTATCAGTATGGTTTTTTTGGTGTTTATTTCTACTGTTTGCCTACTTTCTACATTTTTGCTTCTCCATGAATCAACTCTTCTTTATATTACGTATTTTTATTTTTTCGTTCAGTGTCTCATTTTTGTTCGCCAATCCAATTAAATTTTTTGACTAGTCATTAATTCTCGTTATCGTTGTTATTATTTTTTCAATTATTTTCGCTATTATTATTATTTTTGCTATTGTTACTGTTACTATTATTTTTATATTATTATCAATATTATTGTTATTATTATTATTGTTATTATTATTTGTTATTTTTGCTTCATTTTTTTTTTATGACTAATATTTAGCCTTTACTGCTTTGGGATATCTACGTCGTCTGTTTAGTTAAGTTACCGTACAAACAAACTTGAAAGAATCTGGGGATCTGAGTGTAGCTGACGAGTAGCACAGTGCTCCTTGTAAAAGAGGTGAGAAGCTGTCTAAAAGTGGTTTTTCTTATCGCTTTTCAACAGTCCTTCAATGTCGTGATCTTTTGCGCATCAAACACACTAGCTATGCTTTGGATTTGTTTGGTGTATATTGAAACGTTCTTATTGATTGAAAGAGAAAAAAAGGAGGATTTATGAAGATGCCTTGTAGTTAGGTGTTTTTCGGATTTTTTGAAACTTTATTCAATATGTGATTCATTATTATTGTTCTCAAAAAACCGTTTGGTTGCTCTTTTTTACTTGA